AGAGGGAGGGGGGGGGGGGGGGGGGTTTCAAGGTAAGGCCCCATACAGTCAGTTTCGGTAGACTGGTATAAATATGAAGTCAGCTTGCACACTTGAACAAAACTCAAATATTGCACACCTCATTCCAATACTTCAAATTTTGCACAAGATTGCGGTGCATGGGGAAATTGAAAATTGCACAAAACAGAAACTGCTTATAGGAGTCCAGATCATCAATTGCCCAAATATTAAGCATACAATTCAAATGCAAAAGTCAGCTGTACCAAACATTACAATATGCCACTAAGTATGGAAAACTATTCAACACGAAAATAATAAGCATGATATGGAGCAACTTAATCACATTACATACAGATTGCATTACATACCGCACCCTCCTCATTCAAATTCTTCTTCTACTCCTTGTAATGGGATTCTATATACTGCATCACAGCAGACCCACACTATTTCATCAGTTTTGAGGCTTGCTCAGAGGAAAGAGGCCGTGACTGTTCTTATTCAGTACCCACTGAATCGTTCTTTTAGTTGAAGGCCTTAAGTGATTCAGTGGTTGAAACCTTTGGAGCCAAATACTTGGTGGTAATGTTTTGCCGTTATACCTTCATGTCCTTTCGGCATGATCAAATTCTGATGGTTTTTTTCCTCTTGATTTTCCATCTCTAATTAATCATTTAATGAATCCTACTTTTTGGACAAAAAAATGGCTTGGCATGTTATTGATCCTTGGGCAATATACATGTAATATCATGACTTAGCAGGCTCGTCATCATCCTCGATATCCCATGTCAGATCTTCGTCTTCCTCAGCAGCACTCAATCGCTTGCGTAAATCAGCTCTGTTTGAACTTGGACTATGGCTCCCACGCCCACTTCCCTTGCTATCATCCCCACTTCCCATATATTCAATCTCATCCCATCCAAGGTCTTCTTCCTCGTGCGATGATGATCGACTCGGAACAACTGAAAAATCACTCTCATGAGTCCCATCTGAACTTGCCTTTTCATCGCATTTCAGTCTCTCTTCCAAATCTTTCTTCTCATCCACCCCACCATCAGTTTTTAACCCCGAAACCCCCTGTTTATCCTCGTTGTCCCTTTCCAAATCCTTCTCGTCTTCAACCGGTAAATTTTTCACTTTCTTTCCATTCTTCTCAATTTCATTCCATTCATTATCATCATCATCACTGTCAACATCCCAACTCAACTCCTCTTCTTCCTCCCTTGATATCGCTCTTTTCACAATTCGTGCCCTCGTTTCCTCTACTTTCATCACCTTATATTCTCTATAGAAGTACCTACACCAAAATGTCTCCTCGTCTACTTTCAATGGCACGAGTTCATCATGAATCTCCTTAATCACCCCATTTTCTTTAAACAACTCCTCGATTTTGTCCTTCTTCTCCTCAATTTTAAACCCTACTTTCCACTCATTATAACCACTCTCCTCTACGTTCTCACGGTACGTTTTAACATCACACTGTATCGCGCGTATTATAGCATCTACTCTGTTATACGGCTTAGCATTTTCACTAAAGCTCGAATCTCTATCAATTTCATCCAAATGGGCATCCAAAAAATCATCATGAGAAGTAAAGTTCAGCTCTTTACCGATGATTCCCGAGAAAGTGGACCCCACGTTGTCGATGGCCTGGCCGACAGCCTCCAGGGACTCCTGGGCAATCGCGGCTCCGGATTCCAGCCGAGCTGGGAGGTCATGTACGGCTCTACTGGCAGCTTGGCGAATCACCGATGTCTCTTCTTTCAATCCAGAGCTGAATTCTTGAAGATCTTTGTAGTAATTGTCAATCAAGGATTCAGATTTAGAGGCTATATTTTTCAACAGGGTAGAACCAATTGCCCATGGGTTTGATTTGATGGGTGGATCGGGCTGGGAATTTTGTGAAACGGGTGATGAGGTTTGTGAATCAGAGGAGGAGGGTTCTGTGAAGACCGATTTGAAGAAATCCATGGGGTTTTGGGAGTGAAATTGTTGTTTTCTTGAATATGTACCATAAATGTATAGACACAAGAGACGGTGGACTGTAAATCTTCAGCTGTATATACGTACGTATTTCCTCTGGTGGTTTGTACGGAGAAGAAGGTAGAGACTTCTTATTAGTGCACAACTCTAAAACGTACATGATAAACTCTGTTTATTGATTTTATAGAAATTTATTCAAATTCATAAAATTAATAATCTTTAAAATTCATTAAAATCCCAATTTAGGACATTTTTTTAAAAAAAAGTTTTATGTTGAGGCTAATGAAAATAAAAGATTTATAGATTTTGATAAAATTTAAGATGGTATCCTCACTTGAGATTGTGATGAATTTTTAAATTTATACTTCCTCAATTGAGATTTTAATGAAATACATTACAATTTATGTGTTTTCAATTAAGATTCTAATGAGATTCAATAAAATCTTCTAAAATTTATATATCCCCAATAATTAATGAATTTATAAAGAATTCAATATCAGATAGATTTTAAAACATTTA